ATGCACAGACTTCAAAACCACCTTTTTTAACCACTAAAAATCAACGTGGTTTTTATGGTGAAAGGACCAAAACACTGAAGTGAACAAAGCCTTACAAAGAGGCACCAAATGGACCAACAAGGCTAGAAGGTGAGTTTGCACCAAACCACAAAACGACCTTAATGAAAGTTTAAAGCATGAATACAAGCCCTTTTTTATGTTTAACGACAAAAGCTAAACAGCAAGCAGATAGTAAAAAACTATTTGCAAGTTTGGGGAATATAAGCAAGATGCCAGCCTCTGAAGAACCCTTGAAGAACAAATTGGTCTAGCCTCTTCTTTTGATCAAAACCAGTCCAAAAACTCAAGATCAACCCTCCAAGCTCCCTCAATCTTTCGGAAGTTTAAAAGGTTTTTTTTTTTTTTGGGTTAAAAATAGTGTGGTGTAATGGTGCAAAAGTAAGGTAAAAATCCACTTTAGGCCAAGAAAACACACACACAAAAGGAGGGAGAGAGGGAGATATAGAGATAGAGTGTAATCTTATATCTCTAAGCTCTGTTTTTTGCTCTAACTTTCTAACTAGATCAAAGAGGAAGGCCCTTCCTCTTATAAGACTCCCTCTTGCAAAAGCTATACCACAAGCTGCTTAGAGGAGATCCCTCCATACACGTGTATGGAGGGAGGCAGAAGTTGGTGCCAGCTATCCACAGCTGGCACAAAATATCTCATAAAGTGGATGAACAGTGGTGCGCTGCCAAAAAAGTTGTTTCGAACAAAAAACGGTGGCCGACCGGCACAAATGGGCGATCGGAACAAAAGACCAAGCCGGTGGCCCTCTAAGCCACTGCCGGATGGGTGTGCTGACGGATGCCCTACAAGGCATTCTCTGCCCTTCCAAGGCAAAACACAAGTGGTTTAGTATGAAACCAGAACACTAAACGGTCAAGTTCGCAGAATCCTGCAGTGTAGGGCGCGCAGAGCCGAACCTCCGGGACTCTAAACGAACACAATACATGAATAATCACCGAGTGTTCCCAAGCGGTGACGTCTCAAGTCTCGAGGACGGTCAAAAATGGGCGTGTCTACAAGCATGCGACAACAATACCAACAACAAGGATGCGACAACATGCAATGCGATAAGCATGCAACGACACACAAACCGCATGATCTATGGACTTACATTGAAAATGGATAGGCCTCAGCCATACCAAAAACAGTGGCCAAAATGATGCGACAAAGGCATGAAATGCACACGCAAACATGCATGCTAATGGCCCATTACCTTAAGCATTGTAGAGCAACTTTTAAGGACACTTGAAAGGAGACAAACATGGACATTAGGCAAACATGTTAGGCCCTGAAATCATGCAAGGGATGATGCCAAACCAACCAAACAATGCAATTAAGGCATGCAATAAAACCCAAAACTTAAAACTAGCCAAGGGAATCAAACCAAGGCTACATGAAGCAAACCCCAAAGGGCCAAGGGGACCTAAAATAGTCCCAAGGCAGGTCTAAACAAGGCCAAAAGTGAGCTCAACACTAGCCAACACAAGCTAGAACACAACGCCAAAAACAAGACGCATGCAAGGCTACCAAAGGGGTGTTATACTGCACATATCAAAACCAAGCATGGCATGACTTAAGCCAATAAAATCAGAGTTATGGCATGTTAGAATGAGCCCAAAAACCCACTTAGATGGCATCCCAAAGGCCTAAGTATGATGGCATGCACAATGACCTATTCTTAAGGCATGAAACATAAACTATCCAAAGCATGGAATAGGTGATAAATGCAAGTATGTGACCATGAAACATGGACTGAAATCACATTTCACATGATGCCAAATCATGAAAATACTTCAAGTAACATATGCTAATGAACTCAAGGCACAAAGCTTACAAGCTAGAATGAACCAAGGCTATGCAAAACAATGCATGCATGACCAAGACAACACCGAACAGAGTTTAATCATGGTAAAACATTAGGGAAAGCTCCTTGGAGTTGAGCCAAAACATGCAAGAATAGTGGTCCAAACACAAGATGCATGTTATGCAAACATGCAAGATTACTCTACAAGTATGTGAAGCATGCAAGATACCATCAAACCAGCATGAAATTGAGTTAAAGAAAGTCCTAAAAGCCACTAAAAAGTGCTGAAATAGAACCAAGACATGCTAAGTAAACATGCTACTCTTATAAGCCAACAACGCAAGCATATGAGACACAAGGAGAAGGGGGTGTCCCCTCCTATACAAGACTCCAAAACCACTTCTCCACCATTAAAAATCCTCTGGATTTCAGTGGTGGGAAGGTCAAAATAAGATGATCCCAAAGCTCAAAAGTAAAGGCGCAAAACAAGGCCAAACAAGGCCTAAGAGGGGCTAGACAACCCCCAACCAAAAAGTGACCTTAAGCAACCATAACAAACATAAAAAATCAGAACTTTTTGTAGTTTAAAGTCAAGCTTGAAACAATATAGAGTATGTGTAAAAGCTTAAGCAAGAATGGGGTATCTGAAGTTTAGAATCTCACATTTGAAGAACAACTTCAAGAACCCAAGACCAGCAACTCTCTCTGATCAAAACCAGCTCAAGAACCTTAAAACCAACCTCCTAGTACCTCAACACACAAGGATGGTGTAACTCTAGGTGTTTGTGTGCAATAGTAAGGACAAAACACACTTTTGAGCTCAAACACACACACAAATCTAGAGAGAGGGAGATATAGAGAGAGAGATATATCTAACTTGTATATTAGATTTCTAGAACCCCTGGAAAGGGAGAGGAGGCTCTCCTTTTATAGAAAACCAATTTTACAAAGCTTTTTGGAGAAGCTAAGCAAGGCTCAAATCCCTCCATATGGAGGGGGAAATTGTGCGTGCCAACTGTTCCAGCTGGCACAAAATATCTGCCAAAAGCAGATGGAAAGGGGTCGGCCGAAAAATATGGTCGATTGACCAACAAAGGAGGCCGACCGACCAAAAACAGTGTCGATCGGCCAGCATCTTTGGCCGATGGAAAGAAAAAGGGGCCGATGGCTTCATGCCTTAGCCGATGGGTCGAGGAAATGGCCAACAAGCCACCCTCTTCCCTTAAAAGCAAAAACACAAGTGTTTGGTCCACAACCAAGCACAAAACAGTCAAGTTAAGAGATCTTGAGGCAAGGCGCGTGGCCGAGACCTCCAGGAACTCAAAACGAACACGAGCATAGATGATCATCGAGTGTTCGAATGATGACGTCCAAGTCTTGAGGACGGTCAAAAATGGAGTGTCTACACATGGTTATTTTTCGAAATAACGTTGAAGGGAGGAAATGAGAAATGTATTTTTTTGTTATTGTTGTTAAGACATTTGGAAACAGAGAAATGTCATGAGGCATGGAAATTCATTACCTTGCATACTCATTCAATTAACTATCATGCATTGTGTAAATTGAATGGAAACATTTACTTCAAGAAAAGGACATACTTATGGTAATGAGAACAACGGAAATGTGTAATGGGGTAAATACGTGGTAAGTCCGGATAGGGGGTGCAGTTGAAATTGATAAGTTCGCCTGAGTGTTCATGGTGAAAAACCAGAAACCCACGCAGATAAGTGTCGAGCCTTTCGGTTAATACCGGTAAAAATGACAATTTGGTAGTACTTGTAGAGTCTACTTGCATACACCAGCCTAGGGATTACCAGTGTCGTATTTACCGCCCCTATTGTTTTAAATTGGAAGTTTTGAAATGTGTTGAGATTGCAAGTTTTTATTGAAAAATCGAAATCTTCAAGAAGAGCATGAAATGAATTTTCTTTAAAAGAGCATGGCATAGCATGGCATGGACATTTGCATTTTTATTGAGAGTTGCATAACTGTATATACTTTGTGAGAATACTCTACTGGACTTTATGCTCACCCCTATGGGATTTGGTGCAGGTAAAGATGTGGTGATCCCGCCGAATTGAGGGCGTGGATATTTTGTAAAGAGTAAATAGCTCTCTTATTTTTGTTGTAAATTTTTGTAAGCCAAGGGCTAAACGTGTATGGATCCAAGAGACCATTTTGTGTAACCGGGCTATTGCCTTGGAAGATGAAAGCCCTTAAGGGCATTTTATTGCTTGGAGACTAGGTGTTTTACATGCTATAGATTCATGTGTATTTTTATCATTGAATGTATATCCTTATGTGAAAGTTTCGTATAAAACTCCTTTATTAACTATGTGAAGATGGGAAGTTTATTGCCATGGTTTAGCAAATGTTAATTAATGTGGGTAGTTCATGTTAAATTATTTCGAGGCGTTACATAGGCGGCCTTGCCTGTAAACCTGCGAGATACTGGGAACAACAATTCTCCACTCGAGCGATGCTTCCTTCACTCGAGCGGTCACCTTGAACAAGATGTCACATATACACTCATCATCTTAAAAGATTAAAGCTTAAATTGAATGAATTCATGGTCACTTGAGAAGTTTTATAATGTAGGAAAATATATTGAACCTATATGAACATTAGTTCAAGATTTGAACATGCATGGCATAAGTTCATGAGAATCATGATCACAAACGTTGTAAAGCTTTTTTACCGTTTAACTACCATTCTCCAATGGTCTACTTTGAAGTCACATTTAATAATTTTGTTAAGCAAATACATTTAACAAGAAAATCAAGTAAGAAATCCCTTTGTGTATAAATTTTTTCTTCTGATATTGATTATGAACCAAAAAAACTATAACCAACGGCTCATTCATTTATTTAGAATCAACGCCTGAAAGTTTAGGTGCATACGTTGGGATTATTACGCATACTCAAACACAAACTGAGCACACCACACACAAGAGAAAATCAACACACAATTTACATGGTTCAATACAACCTGCCTATGTCTACGACTGTAAGTAGGCAAACAAAACCTTTGAAAGACCTTCATAGTAAGGTTCTCATAACAATCTCTGGGAAATGAACTCTCATGCCAAGCTCAAAGGAGTAATTGATAATGGAAAAAGCAATAAGTTTTAAATACAAAAACATGAATTCATAAAAAGAGAGCCATTCATATATCTCAAACATAATTTTTTAAATAACTACATGGGGAAATAACTGCCTAAATTAACTACATGGGATAGAGATCGTACACTGTATACAATACAAAATAAATAGCATAGAAGCAAATAACCTCATCATGATACAAGGAAAAAGCAATAAACATTAGTTACACAGGAGCAAAGATTATTCACATATATATATACACATCATAACAGGACCTCATCAACTTCAGAAAATTAATGGTTACAAGAGGATGGCTTCTAATAGCGTCCGAGGGAAATCAAATGTTGCTCCAATTATCATCATCTTCTCCATCATCGCTCCCAACAGCCTGACAAGTATTCGAGTATGAATGGATGAGACGATAAGCAAAGGCATGTAACAAGAGAATTGAGACAGGAGAATAAAATTATAAATTTATAAAAAAAAAATTCAAGATTAAATGTGGAGAACCTGGTGAATTGCATTTGCCTTCTTTAAAATTGCTGTGACTTCGATACTGGAAGTTGGCCCAGGTGTAACAGTAAGTTTTTCTGTCTTGGTGCGCCTCAAGCTAAAGGACTTGAATAATACAACAGACATGGAAAGCATAATTATTTATTTATTTTTGGATCAACAACAAAGTTCATTGATTAATCAAAAAGAAGAAATGAGGATAAGATATCCTCTACAAGGGAAAAAAGAAAAAATTATGCTTCATTCTCGAAAAGCATAATCAGCAACAAAAGATCAAACTTCATTCTCTTGTAAAATGCTAAATTTGAAAGGTTCAATGAGGGAGATCTAATAGACTCATTCACACAATCCAGGTCATGCTTTAACTTTAAAGGCCGAGCTAGGGTCGATAAATAATGACAAGCCAAACAAGGAGCCCCTATATAAAATATTATTTCAAAACAAAAAAAAAAAAAGTTGAAAGAAACTGAATATGAACATTAGAAGTCTGAATATCAAATAAATTAGAAGGCAACACTTCTCAGCTTCAGTGGTGGAATTATCAAGTCAAATTCTAGGCATTAATAGAATGATTTGCTAAAAGTAAGTAACACTGAGATGAGGCTGCTAAAGAAGATAAGTGGCAATCAGAAAGGAAAAACTAATATGAGGCACGAACCAAGAGGGATGAGCTCACAAATTCCATAAAAAGGAAACTAGGACCAATATAATGCAGGAGAAAGGTTCCATACTTGAAAGGGAAAATGCAAAGAAGAAAAGAAAAAAAATTCAGATAAGCATAGAAAGATATGAACAGCTCACAGACCATCAGAAAATAGCAACCACATTATAGTGACGTCATGAATTCTAAGGTATAATACAGACAAGCCAATGATGAGATATTGAAATGCATATAGTTGCATCGGTACGTTTGATGCCCTACTAATTAAATTTAATGAAAATAAGCTTTTCAATTCTCATATTTTATATTCTATCGAGTCCAGAATTGGAAATAATTTAAACAGTAGTGCTAGATTACTCTGATTTATAATTTTTCATTATGGCGGTCATCGCTGCTGCTATCACCACTGGTCCACTACATAGCACAGTTTGTCCTTTCTCCATTCCAATCAAACACAACATTAAACTGTCTCAAGTTCTTGGATAACTAAAGTTATGATAATCAAACAAATAAGGACTACTCACTTTTGTTCTAATCTGATGCAGAAAATCTTCCATTTCATCAATGCCCTGGCCATTTACAGCCCGATTAACTTGTTTCTGTCCATTTGATTTCTGCCACTCTGGCTGCTGGATGCATTACAATGGTTCATTACCTTACTTTTCTTTTGAATAATTTCAAAGTTGGTACAAAGGCAGTTCCCACTTATGCCAATGGTTTATTAAATGAACAGAAAGTATGCAGGCGAAATTAAATTAAATGTTCACCTTGCTCTTTGGTGTGAATGCAATGGCCTTGTCAGTATTTTGCTGTTGCTTCATTAGGCTTGGAATAGATTGCGAAGAGATGGTAGATCCCAAAATCTTTCTATCAAATGCATGGTTCAGGGTGTCAGATATAGAACCTTGTTTACCGATTGTCACACCTGAAAGGATTTTCATAACCCGCCATCGTAATGGAGGGAGAGGTGGTGGTGTAGGCTCCATAGGAAAGTGCAACTCTGGCAAATCCTTTCCATCAGAGTTAATTTTTATTTCTTGCTAAAATAAATGGTTTAGAGTGCTCAAACTTGGAAGATCAAGTGAGCGACCGGACAGACAAGGTTCCAGACAATTTTCAGCATATGGACTCTGAAGTCCATAAACATCGATGCTTCCACATCCTGTTCCCTTGAGCTCCAGAGACCTTGAAACAGATTCTATTGATGAGATTCTGCATAAAGCTTGTTAAAGCCCATTGTCCTTTCTTGGGGGAGTATAATCAGATTCCCACTGATCAGAATTTGACTCAGAGTGATGACTAACACAATCATCAGACATATACCGAGATGATCTACCAAATGTGTCATCGTCAGAGTCTGAACCAATGTCATATTGTGGCAAAGCAGGATCTGGGACAAATTGAAATGAAGGTAGCATATCTCTACTGCTGTCATGACTATAACTCCCATCAGGAAATTTCAGTTTTAGTTTGGTCTCAAAGCGATTCATAGGTTGGAAAGATATCTTCATAGGTTGAAGTGGTGGTGAAGAAGAAGGTGAATTTAAAGGAGACCCATTCTCAAAATACCCCTTGAAAGTTCTCTCGGAAAATGTTCAATATGCAACACTTCGGTTCTGGCTCTTCTGCTCAAAAACATCAGTTTTCCTAGAGCTAGAAGGTTCAGACTTCTCATCATGGACAAGTGATACATTTCTTTGAAAACCATTTACAAGGATTCTACTGCTAAGTCCAAACATCTGAGATGCATTTTCACCATCCCTCTGACTAGCTTCAGTAGATATGGCTTTAACACCTGGAAGGGCTGCCTGCCCAGTCCCAGGTATCACTGTACTGGTTTCACTCAAACTACTCCCACGGTTGTCATTAAAGCTATTACTAGGATCAGAATCACCATACTTTTCATGTTTGGCGTCCAAGTCAGTTGGCAAAAATCTCCAGGAAGTATTTTTATCAGGCATGCCATCTCGATTGTGGCATGATGTGCAGCATTTAGCAGAACTCTGTTCAATGCTTTTGGAGCTCTGGACCAATTTATCTGGCTTTCCCACATCCCCATTAAGACTATTACTTTGACTTGATAGACTGACTGTGTCATCTTTACTTTTGGTCACAGACTCCTGACTTACAGCATTCAATATATTAAAATCTGGAGGCTATGATGGTTTAAGTCCTAGCAGGCTCCCATTTGTCCAGCAATTAACTGAGTGAACAACAGAAGGTTCAGTGGGAGATTTTTGAGCTTCACAAGAAGTGCTAATGGTTTTATCACTCACTGAAGCTTGTGGATTGGGTTCTGCAGAGACAGAGTATGGTAAATTGATGACATCAGATTCTACATTTGAGGCATTAAGGATGCTATGCTTTCCACAGAAGTCCAAACCGAGAGAATTGCCAGTATTAGAAGATTCTCCTGTCATTTGAGGTGACTCTTCATAGGCATAAGACTCTAAGGAGAAAGAGTTAGGTTTATCAAAGGATGTCATTTTGTTTGAGGAATTGTAAGTCGCAGTTTGAGATTCCAAGTTTGATGGTTGAAGGTCCAAATCATGTACCCCATGCACTCCATATTGAGTTCTGTCATCACTGAAATTGGAAGATCGCTCCACCTCTTGTTTGGTTTGGCCATCTAAATCAGCTTCATATTCTGACCAGATATTGATGTCCGTGCATCTTCATTATCAAACTGAAAGTCCATTTGATCAATATTTATAAGGTTAACAGCTCCCTTCTCTTGAGAAATTCCATCAAAGTTCATTGTGAGGATCTCTGCAGTTGGATCATGATCATATTGGTGACCAGTAGACTCTACTATTTGTGTCTTTTCATTCCAAGTAACTGGGGCCAGTTTGTTCTTGCAATAAACTGCTTGGAATATCATCATCTACATCTCTGTTACGCTTACCAACGAAAGCTGAATCAACAGTCTGATGCATCCTTGAACTAGAAAAGGATGATTCCTTAGGTTCATGTTCTATGTGGCCTGACCTAGTTCTTGCATCAAAATAATTTGATTGGTCTGTCAAGTCAGATTTCAATGTAGCGTTAAATGTGGAGAGTCTGAGGAGAAATTTGCTTATTGACTTTTAGAGAACCAAATTGAGCTCTGCATGGTCAGATAAACAAACATCTTATTTTAATCAGACTGAACAATGCAGAGAGAACTAACATATGACAAACTAGACTTCTATGCCAATACACATACAAACACATGTAATAAATTACCTGCCACTGTGGTTGGGTATTGATGCACCATGAGACACTTCATTCCTTTGTCATGTTCTCTTTGTCTGCTCATTTTTTACATCCTCATATTAGACATTATTCTAACAGCAGCAAAGAGGTAATAATCATGTACAACCCTAAATTTCAATTGCATGACTAAAAAAAAAAGACGAACATGATGTAATGACCCTACTCAGAAGATATCAATGTGAGAAAATAATTAATTCTATTATCTTAATTCATAACTATGACAGCATGCTAATAGAGTAAATCTAGCAGATAAACTCATCCAAAATAATGATTATTCTATGGAGCTTTAAAAGAAAAAAAAGAAAAAGGAAAACAAAGGCATTTACAAGAATATGCAGAGTGAACTAACAGGTTGTTATGGGTCTCTCTTACCAAGTTAATATGGATGGAAATTTCTGACAATGGTCGAATTTTGTGGTTTGAGTTTCTACATTACAAGACATACCTTGCTTCTACAAGCCTTCCTATCTTTTGAGACTTTCTCAACATTTGCTTCTCTAGAGTTGGCTGATGCTCTCCTAAAGTAGGTAGGATCCGAGTATCTTTTTAAGCAAGATCCTGGGCCACCAGTGTCGAATCTGAAAGACAAAGTTGAAGGTTTAAGCATCCAGCAGTCAACTAGATCAGCATTACAACTTCAAGACTGAACAATACTTGTCAAGCAACTGAAGACGTGGTGGATCACTACATTCTTCATAGGAATCCATAATACAGTTTGGCAAGTCACCGTAAATAAAGTGATTTTGCTCATTTTGGAGATGAGAATGCCAGTTACAACCTGTAAAGCAACTGCATTCCATGAAGGACATGAAAAACTAGCAAAATTAATGTAGTAAAAAGAAAACCTAACATTGAGGATCAATAGTTGCCTACAAAAGCAAGTTAACCATAAATAAATCCACGACTAAGTGTTAGGCTTAAAAGTTGGACCAGTCTACAGTGTTGCAGATGGCACTTTTTATTAAATGCACTTGTACAACATCTTCTAAGCTGTCAATAGTCATATCCCAACAAACTTAAATCACAAAAGCATAACTTACCCGCCAAATGATCACCTTTCAAGGGACAAGTGTGGTTATTGGAAAAAAATGAAATGAAATCGAAAATAGATACTAATGTCTACTGTCTTCAGAAAGAAGCTTACAAATGATTTAGATACTAATGTCTATATAGAAACAGATATAAGAATTGAAAAGATTAAAATCAGGTGTGTGAACCACACCAGCTCTGTAAGCAAAATGTAAGTGGCTTTTTAGGGCCAACACGACCTTCTCAAGTGGAACAAGTGCAGCTTCAATGCGTTGTACACGAACAACCATTTTATGGCTTCTAGAAGATGTACTCATCACTTGCTCCTGTATGCCATGAAAAACCTCTGCCACAAATCTACAAGTAGAAGATGCCACCTCAGTATTATATTGCAAGGTGCTAAAATAAAGCTTGATAAAAGAAAGTTATTTCAAAGATTTGACACTATAACACAGAAATTGTTCTAGAAATGATCCAATTCCTCACTTGTTCTAATTAGTTCAACACATGTCAGGTGGTACTGTGGCTGGTCTTCACAGTTGAATCATTAGGGTCAACCAGGATTCTCCACAAGCTGACTTTAAACGATTACCACATAAAAGGTAGTTGAAATTGAGTCTGCTCCTTCTTGTGGTACGGGGCAAAATTAAGGGAAATGAAAAGGAGAAAACTTCAAGTCAATGATTTTCTCATGCTACACCAAATAGGATCAATAGTTGTGTACCCCTCAAGCATAACAAATAATGATCTGACACCAAAGAAGAGATTTTTTAATTAAGCCCAACCAACTGACAGATCTACCACATTTGCAAATTTATTATGCATCACGTTGTTGCACCAAACACTAATCCCATGCAGTTTAAACTAAATAACTTACGATACAATAATGAAAGAAAAAATAATGAAAATTTAAAAAATAAGTGGTATATTACATTTTTTTTTATAATTATGTTTGAATATTATTTTCATATATATGACATTGACATATAATAAATATATAAAATTATATATTAGGCAAACTTCGTTTTACCCCCATGTGATTTGGGCCATGTGCAGTTTACCCCTCTAACGTTTGGAAATAACCACATAACCCCCACGTAGTTTGTGAACTAAAGTGCATCGTTAAACATTCCGTCCAACTCAATAGTAAGTGTGAAACACGTGACAAATATAAGAGGGTTATATGCTCATTTTCAAATTTCAAAGGGGTAAATCGCACATGGAATAAAGCATAGGGGGTTAAAGTGCACTTTGCCTTTCAAACAAATGACAAAAATACAAGGGTATTTTAGTCTTTTTTATTAAATCGTTAATGGTTCTAACGGTGCACTTTAGTCCACAAACCACAAGGGGGTTATGCGGTCATTTCCAAACGTTAGAGGAGTAAACCGCACATGATTCAAACCACAGGGGGCAAAGTGAAGTTTGCCCTTATATATTTCGTGTGTTCCCCTCGTATCGTGTTCTGCAATTTTTGAAACTTAGCACGTCGGCATGTCTGCATTGTGTCGTGTGTTCGCGTCCGTGCTTCTTAAATAACAATTAAAAAATTAAATGCAAAAGATAATCAAAGTATTTTCGTAATGGTCAAAAAGAACCCCAAGTATTTTTTATATTTTGATACTTACAACAATACCCTATATTTTTTATTTTTAAAAAAAATAGACAATATAATTGTCCCAGGTACGCAATATTTTTTCAAAATTACACTTACGCCCTGAAGTACCTACAGAAGTACTCGAAACATATCCATACTATACCCAAGGCATACTGGTCTAGTTTCCATAACCATGTCGTACCCACGCTAGTAAAATTTCTTGAAAACAGTCCATGTTGAAGAAACAACTTCAAGAATTCTAAAAACATCAAATTTATAAAATAAAATAAAATAAAAAAACAAAGCGACATGAAAAGGATTGATGATTTTTCAAACTTCCCATTAGTTTATTTCTAAAGACACAAAAATTGAAAATTCAAAAAGAAAACTAGAGCCATGTAATTGGTGCCAAAAGAGCCCTAAACTTCTCCCTTCTTAAACTAAAACTCAACCAACCTGTACAATCCCCATCTTTTTGTATGAGCTGCATCCAGATGGTGTCAAGTGGATCTCTGGAGGTTGCTTTTCCTGTTACCCTAAACCTTTAAGTGGGCCATAGCTAATTCCTGGTTTAGTATCTCTATTATAATCATAAAAGATCTCTCTCCAAGCATCGTTAGCGAAAGTTGGTTTTGTGAAAATGGGGAGACATATTAAGTTGTTAAAGACAAGACTTTATAATTAACACATGGTCTATCAATATTGTTTATGACAATATATCCTAATTTAGTGATGCTATGGTTCATGAATTTGCTTCAAAGTTGCACTGTCTATGTCAGAAGTTACCTCTTAAGTACCTAGGTTTACCACTTGGTGCAAACCCAAGAAGGAAGAAGACTTGGCAACCTGTAGTGGATAAGGTTATCGAAGTTAGCTTTATCGAAAAGGAAACTTTTGTCATTTGCTGGTTGGCTAACTTTGGTTAAGTCTGTGATGGATAGTATCCCTGGTTATTACATTTCAATTTTCAAATTACCCAAAGGCATTGCTAAGGAAATTGACAGGTTAAAGGCAGCTTTTTTATGGGGCAGCTCAGAGTTAAGAAGATTCATATGGTAAAATGGAAGGATGTAATAAAGAGCAACACTACAAGAAAAATTTAATGTCACGGCGCTTAGAAAAAGACGTTTTTTGAAAAACGTCTTCATTTCTCGTTTTCCAAGACGCGTGCCTTCGCTGATGCTTAACCTTGCCAATTAATTAATGAGTTAAAAAAAGGAAAAAGAAACAAACCTCTGATACTCAAACCTAATAGAATACAACTTTTATTTCCAACATCAGAGTCACACAGATTCATTACCCTCTCCCCTCTCTTTCTCCTTCTCCAACATTATTCTCTGTCTAAAATGGCATGAATGAAGCTCTCTTTGTAGATATTGATGAAGCAACTGATGATGAAGATTTCAAGTAAGTCTATTGTAGATCAAAACCTTAAATCTCTCAATCGTTTTTCATTATTTTTTTATTTTGAAATCTTGTTTTGTGCACTCGATTTGACTAATTTTTTTCGAGATTATTCGATCTCTCTTCGATATTGTTCGATCTCCCTTGATTTGACCAATTTTCTTCAAGATTGTTCGATCTCCCTTGATTTTCATTTATCTAGGGTTTCATTCTACACGGCGCTGAAAAAATGCAGTGGATCTTTTTGAAAGGGCTTTTCAATCTCGCGGTGTGCACTCGAGATTCAGAGATTTTCATGACTGCACAGTAACAATCTAGATCTGTTTTGATTTACATTCTATTAGTTTGATTTCATTCGATTGACTGAAACGGTTGCTTAGGATTTCGATTTCCATTGTTGATCTAGGTGCTCTTCTCTTTTATTGGTCTGACTCAAGCTTGTTTTGGATGATTTTGATTTCGATCTATGTTTTTGTTTTTCTTAGGTATCGGATCTATAGCTCTTTTATTTGTTTTAGTTCTCTCAGGTAGTCAGCTTCAATGGTTTTGATCTGTAACTGTATTTTATTCAAATAGTTTTATTGTTTGTTCTACAAATAGGTAGCTTAGAAGATTTATATATTTTCTCTCACTCTCTGTGTTTCCTCTTTTTAAGGTTTTTATTTGCTAAAAGATGATTGAGCCTTTTGGGATGAAATATGTTTTAAAGTTGATATTAAATAAATTAAGTTATCATTTTCACCAAATAAGGGTGAAATGGAGGGGTTTTGGCCAAATTTCCCTTATAATTATATGTTTGTGTATGTGTAAACAAAATAAAAGCAAAGAAGAACCTGTGTACAAATCTGAATGCTCATTTTTTAGCCTAGCCTGAAAAGGCCTCTACTCTAACAAATTGAAATAACTAAATATCATAATCTATATCCATGCTACTAACAAAAGATTCAATAAGAGAAAAGATATACTTTATGCTTAGACCTTTTTCATATATTTGTGAAAAATTTAATCCCTCAATCTAATTATATAAATGTTCTAATTTTAAACATTTATTGATCTAATTTTGAACTTTAACATTTTCTCACAATTAAACTTCCATTTTAAAATATATTAATACCAACATTAGTATTATTAATATGAAACATGTGCAACACTTCATCATTTACAGACTTTGAAAGTGTCAAGATGGAATTGATCAAAAATACTTTTTGTTGTGTTTGGATCATGGATTGTGGAAGGGATTTGTGAAGGGAAAGGAAAAGTCAAGGGTTTCTTTTCGCAAATTTCTATCCGAATTCATGATTCAAACATAGCCTATAATAATCTATTAAGTGTAATACAATGGAGTATTGAATATGATTTTTAAAATATAACTAATACAAGATTCCAATATTTAACTCTTTAATTATTCTAATGGAGAAGATGTGGAGGGGAAGACCTAAGCTGACAAGGGATGCGGTAGTTAAAAAAGATATTAATTTATTTAATTTAATCGAGCATATAGCCCTTGGTAGATATTGCAGATAATTGAGTTACAGCTTCCTTCATTTTTCAACAACTTTGATCCTCGTGCTGCTCTTGCTAATTTCCTTTCAGGTAATGTACTTTCTAATTTTACCATCAGATTCTCAAGAATTCATCACTGTTGTTTAGCTGGCTCTCGGATGTGCTTACAGCTTGAAAGTGCAAATAACATTTTTTAAAATTGGACATGTCAGGTGTGCAAGCATATTTGGCTGGGCTTACATTCGCATTAGCCGTTTCACCTTGCAGCACTCCTGTGCTGGGAACCCTGCTTGGATATGTAGCTGCATCCAAGGTACTTTTAAATGTTTATTGATTTCAATTTCCATCTGAATTATTACCTTTTCAGACTGCTTGATACTGATCGTTCTGGGCCTATAATGATGGCTTAGCACTCTTATCTCTATGTCTCATGTTTGGATGCATCATATATGCTATACATTGCATTTGAGCTTCTAAACCTATTATTTAATTACATAACAAGCAGGTCAACTTAGTATGACTGCATTTATTTCACAGTTGAGGGAGCAAAATTGGCACAATATTGGTGGGGCCAATATTTGTAATTTTATAGGAAACCCAGTTTGCAAGAAGTCTACCCAAGTGAAATTTTGAGACTCAGGAGGGGCCATGGCCCCCCTTCATCCAAACATAGGCCCACCCCTAGATCCATCTTTTGAGTTGATAGTTTGCATAATGCTTACTGGTTGATTATTTAATTCGATCCTCAGTTCCAATATTGAGACAAAAAATGCAGTCATAAATAAATAACTAATGTGAAACTCCTAACAGGATCCAGTAATAGGTGGCAGCTTACTGTTGACATACACAACTGGCTATGTTGCTCCTCTACTTCTAGCTGCTTCTTTTGCAGGAGCATTGCAGGTATACTCTTTTTTCACTATGTAAAATCTTGTATGTGAACTCTTGATGTGCATAATTTACTGCTGCTTTTCCCCTCCTTTCCGAGGTATATATAGATAGTGCATTGTGGGCCAGGGCCAAAATTATGATTGTTCCAATGGCTTAGTGTACTTAGCCAATGATTTGGCAGGGCCTACAAGGGAGACAATGGGACTATGCCCGTGTCATCACTGATAAACTATTTGCCACTCTGTTTCGTTCTTACTCCTACACTTTTTGTTTGTCTAATTTTTATTGTTTGTTTGTATCTTGGGCAATTTCTAACACATTGTCTGTAGAGCCTGCTTTCATTCTGCAAATTCTTAGCATGGATCAACCCAATGAGGTATTTTCTCCCCATTTTTTGGCATTAGGATAAGTTGTGCTTGAGGTTCCTTTTTTGCATCTACTCTTCAATGTTCATCTTCATTAGTGGTTAGATGTTGACAATTATGTTCCTTCGAGTGTGGTTGTCGCTCATACACATGACGTTAGAAAAAAGAAGCTTTCAGAAATGATCGGGGGTTCTGGAGCTGGTTCAGTTGGTTCAATCTCAGGTTTGAATTATTTTATTGTTTTAAATTTGTTACAATTTTTCTCCTGAAAAAATGATACATTCTTTGAGGTTTTCTCTATGCTGATAATAATCATGATATGCCAGGTACAGTTCAAACTTCTAGTGGAAGCATTTCTTCTGCAGCGGTGAGTTTATTCTTGCCTTTCAAATTAATGGCCATGCTTTGTATACTTTTTACCTATGAACTAATAGAAATTTTAGGGCTTCATGAAGTAATCTTGACACTAGAATTTTGGTGGATGGAACTTCTAATGAAAATTCCATTTTTGGCTTACTCAAAAGGGTTCTGCTTTTTCAATTACTTACCTCCTTCATCTCTTCTCCAAAAGATAAGGATCCATGGAATTTTCATTAGAGAAAAGAAGATACAATGGATGGATGAGATTAAAAAAAAAAAGA